ATTTCAGAGACAGGTAGGGAGAGGGAGAGAGGGGTAGAAAAATCAATGATGAGAGAATCATTGATCGGCTGCCTCCTGCATGCCCCCTATTAGGGATTGAGCCCACCACCCAGGCATGTGCCCTGACCTAGAATCGAACAGTGATCTGGGTTCATGGGTCCTGATTTATGACAAGGGAGGGAGGGATGTGAAAGATAATTAATGCAATTATGAGTTTTGTAATACCTGTTACCATATTACCACAGTAACTACTTTCATTATTGTATGCTATCTTACTTCATTTTAAGAAGTACCTGGGAACCAAATTTTAATTATTGCTGCTACTTCCAATTTATATGTAATTTAAAAATCTGCATTTGTGACAATGATGTACTTTCTAATTTTGGGTTGTATCCCAGGCATTTTATCCATTCATATAAGTCAGTCCACTACACTGTTGGTAATATTAAGAGAAAATGCACAACCAACTTTCATGATAATTGTAATAACAGAACAGTTGCTAGATTTCAAATAATAATCATTTCTGTCAAGTTTCATTTAATCATAATGCAAAAAACATTAATTCACTATATTTGAACCTCAGTTTCTCATAAAGCATTTGGCTTTAATTCTCTACCAGATCACGGAACAAACCATCACTGAAAAAGTTAAATCTTATTTCTAAAAATAAGCAAAATTGACCTTTTAGTCTGTGATTCAGTTATTCTATGATTTCTTTGTTTTATTATAAAACTTTTATGTAGAAATAAATAACAGCCCAACTGATTTGGATGTGAGCCAAATACCTTACCTACTTGAATGGAAATATTTTCTAATATGGCTTTCCTGAAGTGGGTAGGTACTGTTATAAAACCACCATTTCACCCTAGCTGGTTTGGCTCAGTATATAGAGCATTCAGCCTGTGGACTGAAGGGTCCTGGGTTCGATTCCGGTCAAGGGCACATGCCCGGGTTGTGGGCTCGATCCCCCAGTGGAGGGTGTGCAGGAGGAAGCCAATCAATGATACTTTTTTATCATTGATGTTTCTATATCTCTCCCTCTCCATCTCTGAAATCAATTAAAAAATATATTTATATATAAAACACCACCATTTTTATATACTGTGGTACTCATATAACTTCAGGATAGTTACTATGATAAGACTGTAACAAAGGGTTTCCTGACAGGTAAATAATGAACATCAGAAGAAATGACTAATTCATCATCTTTTCTTTTTAGAATGTCCTTTATATACTAGCAGTTTGTAAGCCCGTTATAGCTGTTTTACTTACAGTTTTATCAAAGGGAAGAGTATGGGGAAACTCAGTACATAATGCAGATAAAGCAGGACTGCTCCCATGACAGTTCTCCGAGCTCTCAGCAACCAGGACCAGCTCTAGGCTCGTCTCCTTTGCTTGGATGACCTAGGCATGGTGCACAGCCCACAGCAGTAGAGTGGACGGGGGAACTTTTGTTCCCTTCAGCCTAGGGTTTCTCTTGTCTGTAGACTGAGCTGGCACTGACCTTCCTGGGTGGGTAGGTCACTTTTGAAGCCCAATTGCAATCTGGATGTGATCTGGGCAGACAGCTTGTTTAGTCTCGGGTGTCCTCTCTGGAAGGCTTTCCTCAGTCAATAGGAAGATGTTTTCAGTTTCAGAATTACTTCTTTTTAGTGAATTTTATATGGACCTTTATGTTGGTCTACTCTCTCAGAGCTAATTCCTGCAAAATCCCTCGTGAGTTTTTATAATCACAGATGTTATAATTTTGGAATTGCATGGAGCAGTGGATTGGAATTCTTATCTGAACATTTTTATTCCTCAGGTAGTTACCATAGCTCTCCGGTGTCCAAGTGGGAGTGTCCTGAGGAGAAGGTTTCTTAAGTCTTGCAGTTCACAGGTGAGGAAATTCGTATTTTGAGAAATATTTTTATTGAATTTGACAATAGTATATTCTCATGCAGTGGGAGAGGTTTTACTAGTCACACTGTTACCTGGTACTCTCATCACTTTCATGTAGTCCATGTTGAGGATAAAGGGCATTTCTATGTATACTACATTGCAGAAACTTAGGTAATTAGGCCTGCTGGGTCCTTTTGAACTGCGATTGCTGCAAAATTTTTTTCAGTTTTCCATTTTCCTATTTATTTTTTGTCTTTTTGTTGTTGTTACAATTACATTTTCACAGGTTGGTGGGTAAGATGCTTTCAAAGCAGCCAGTATTAACTTTGTTCCCATTATACATTAGTTCCTGCTTGATTTTGATGTGGCTAAGATTATGATCCAAATCATTTTTTTCCCCCAAATGCTAACTTTTTGTTCTCAATCTTTTTATTTTTTCCATTCTTTTTTCCCTTGCCTTTTCTCAATCTTTTTATTGAATAATCTTTCCCTTCCCTATGATTGGGGCCTTGCTATTTGTTAAATGCCTCTGCTGACTGTGGGTGCCAGTAGTCCCTGGACCTTAAACAAAATGTATTAAAGGTTATTCACATCTCAGAATCCATGGTATGGTATTTTCTTTACACTCCAGAAAGTCCCTTTGAAAGGTGTAAGCATTGTTGCATTATTCCTAGGGGCATGTTAAACAATGAACAAATTGTAAAATATCATGATGACCCTGAGGGACACCAGAGTGTACAGTATTGACAACTACTTTTCTTATCTTTTAGGTTCTACTTGACTGGATGGTGAAAATTGGGTACCACACATCCCTATACAGCCTTTCTACTTCCTTTCCAAGAATTCCTCTGGAAGTTGAGGGAGGCTGTTCACTGCAGGACATAGGAATAACTGTGGATACTATACTCAATGTGGAGGAAAAAGAGCCATGCAACTAGAAATGAAGAATACCTGTTCTACATAAAACCAGTTATGTTGTGACCTTACAGGACAACAAAGGATTCACATTAAAATCATGACATACCTTGATTAAACTCAAGGCAGTAAACACGTTAGTGTTAATATCCATGGGAATATATGGATATAAAGGGTTAGAAAAGGAGTGCTTTCTGCATATAGTGAATCTTATTCTTTGGTATCACCTTTGCTCATTCGCAGATCTTTTGTTTCTTTTTTTAAATTTAAATTTTTTTTTCAACTACAGTTATTCAATATTATATTAATTTCAGGTATACAGCATAGTGAGTAGGCATGTGATTAGACATAACTTAAGAGGCAATCTCCCTCGTAAGTCTAATACTCCTGACTCCATATGTAGTTATTACAATATTATTGACTATATTCCTTAAATTGAACTTTACATCCTCATGACTGTTTTGTAACTGCCAATTTGTACTTCTTAATTCCTTCACCTTTTTCTCACCCCCCAACCCTGCTCCCATCTGGCAATAGGAGTTTATTCTTTTTATCCATGAATTTGTTTGTTTTGTTTGTGCATTTTTTTATATTCCACATACAAGTAAAATCACATGGTATTTGTCTTTCTCTGTCTGACTTATTTCACTTAGCATAATACCCTCTAGGTCCTTCTATGTTGTCACAAATGGTAAATTTTCATTCTTTTTTATGGCTGAGTAAAATTCCACTGTATATATGTACCACATCTTATTTATCCAATCACCTGTCATCAGTAACTTGAACAGACACAGAGACGTAAAAATTAAAGAGGCCTTTGGACCCCCCAAATTCAACTGGCAGGAAGCCAGCTGAGGAAAATGGCTATGCTGTAAACCCGTGCTACCTGTCATGCGAAAGGAGTGACACCGAGGCCTTCGAGGGCTGAGTCAGGAACCACTGGAGCGTAAATTCCCGGCAGGGAGTAGGGCTGAGTTCTAGCTGAGGACTTTCTAATACTTGCCCACCTGGGCCTCAGAACTGCGCACGGGCAGTAACTTCCGTCTGCCATTCATTTTCAGTCTTTCTCACCAGAGTCATCCTGTCTACCCACCACTGTGTACTGGGTTTGCGGAGGGGCAATAGTGTGCCTCTGGTTCACAGGCCTACAGATCAGGAGGAAATGTATGAGAGAGCTGTACTAAGAATTACACATGCCCAGTCTCATCTGCCTCTGGCGCTGATGCTGTACTGGGTGTAGACTTCTGTGTGCTTTGGGAGGGAGGAGTCACTAGGTGCTAGAGGACAGGCTGTGGGAATCAGCCTCCAAGATGGCCCCCAACCATCCCTATGTCCTGGTAGTTACACTTTCGTGTTGCTCCCTCCCACAATGTACCAGTGCTGATCAGTATAACCAACAGAATTACCCAGAAGTACAGAAGTCCTCACTTAACATAATCGACAGGTTCTTGGGAACTGGGACTTTAAGAGAAATGGAGTCCAGTCATGGGTAGCATAACAATGTTTCAGTCAACGAAGGACTGCATGTATGAACTGCATATACATGGTCCTTCAAGATTATAAAAGAGCTGAAAAATTCCCGTCACCTAGTGACATAATAGCCATCATAATGTCCTCGCTCAGTATGTTACCCATATATTTGTGGTGGTGCTGGCATAAACAAACAACCTGCTTAACAAATGTATTTGTTTTTAAGCTAAGTATTACTACAAAAGAGTTGGTAAGTTAAAAAAATAAAAAGCTTATAAAGTAAAAATGTTAAACTAATATTTATTATTGAAGAAATGTTTTCAAATTTATAGCCTAAGTGTTCAGCGTTTATAAAGTCTACAGCAGTGTACAGTGATGTCCTAAGCCTTCACATTCCCTCACTGCTCACTCTCTGACTCACCAGAGTAACTTCCAGTTCTGCAAGCTCCATTCATTGTAAGTGCTTTATATACCAGATTGTACCATTTTTTACCCTTTATGCTACATTTTACTGTATCTTCTCTATGTTTAGGTATATTTAAATACATAAATATTTACCACTGTATAATGGCCTACAATATTCAGTACAGTAACAGGCTGTATGGGTTTGCAGCCTGGAAGCAATAGGCTATACGACAGCCTAGGTATGTAGTAGGCCATATACCATCTAGGTGTGAGTAAGTAAACTCTATGATGCTCACACTCTGATTTAATATAGCTTTAGATTTTTTAAAAAAAATATGGAACACTTCACGCATTTGCCTGTCATCCTTGCCCAGGGGCCATGCTAATCTTCTGTGTCGTTCCAATTTTAGTGTAAGTGCTGCCGAAGCAAGCACTAGTTTTAGATTTTTTTAAAAAGCCCTAGGGAAAACAAATGAATCCTATTTCCACTTAGCTTGTTTATTATTGTTTTTAATAATATACTTCAGTGGAAAAGTAAAATTGAAAAATGTTAAAGACCTCCATCTCCAGTATACTAAAGAATATTCTGAGTATTTAAAACCAGTCAAAATGTCAAGAGTGCACTATATAACCTATATACCTTTCATACAGCGGTTCTCAACCTGTGGGTCGTCACCCTTTGGGGGTCGATCGACCCTTTCACAGGGGTCGCCTAAGACCATCGGAAAACACATATATAATTACATATTGTTTTTGTGATTAATCACTATGCTTTAATTATGTTCAATTTGTAACAATGAAGTTGGGGGTCACCACAATATGAGGAACTGTATTAGAGTCGTGGCATTAGGAAGGTTGAGAACCATTGCTCTAATACAAGCCACATATCCTTGCAGTGGTTCTCAACCTTCTGGCTCTTTAAATACAGTCCCTCATGTTGTGACCCAACCATAAAATTATTTTCGTTGCTACTTCATAACTGTAATGTTGCTACTGATATGAATCGTAATGTAAATATCTGATATGCAGGATGGTCTTAAGGTGACCCCTGTGAAAGGGTCGTTCGACCGCCAGTGGGGTTGTGACCCACAGGTTGAGGACCGCTGCCTTAGAGAATTTCCCTTACTTTTATTACTCTTCATCTCTGTTCATGCTTCACTTTGTAAACTCCCTGTCATGGAGTGATGTGGGAGTGAGTTTAATAATACAATAGCTGCCTGTTGTCAAAACATGTCATTTTAGATAGTTCTACTATAATGACAGCAGCACTAAGCGGTATTTTGAGGAGAAAATAAAAAGCATAAAGCCATCTTTTTCTGAAGGAAACTGTAAAAAAAAAAAAAAAAGACATTCCCCTTTAAAAGGGGGAGAGCCTAGCCTTAATCAGTTAATTGTTCAGTTCACTGAAACCGAGGTCCTAAAAATAACAAGTTCTAAATGTGCAGCAGTTTCAGACTTTTACTTAGGATGTACCAGGTAGAAAGCTGCAAAGAATGTTCTTCCCACCATAAGAAGAAACAGCTGAATGATATACAAAATCCTAATACTTTTGAGCCCTTAGGTCAGTGGTTCTCAACCTTGGCTGCACATTAGAATCACCTGGGAATCTCTTTAAAATCCTGATTTCTGGGCCTCATCAGGAAATTCTATTTCTTTGTTTTGGGGTGGGGCCACAACATTAGTAACAAAGAAACAGAATTTCCGGAGGATGAGGCCCAGAAATCATGATTTTAAAAAGATTCCCAGGTGATTCTAATGTGCAGCCAAGGTTGAGAACCACTGCCTTAGGTGGTGGAGGCTGCAAAGCACTCGGGGGGAGAGAGAAGTCTCGCTTTTGGCAGGGCATAGGGAGAAAAGGTGGCTGCTCTATAACTACGTGAGGAAATTAGATTTTAACATTTTTAATGGCCACGCATGGGCTACTGCATCACTTTGGAACAAGACTGGCTATCCTATCTAATAAAAGAGAAACATGGTAATTAGCCGTACCTCTGCTACCCTTCCCATTGGCTAATCAGGGTGATATGCAAATTAACTGCCAGCCAAGATGGCGGCCAGCAGCCAGGCAGCTTGAAGCCAACATGAGGCTTGCTTGCTTCAGTGACGGAGGACCCCAACGTTCCCCGCCTGCCTTGCCGGCCTCTGAGCTTGCAGTTTGAAACATTGTTACAAATATAGAAGCTAAACAAAACCCCAGAAACCTGCTTTCAGCCAGCCGGGATCTCAGAGCTGGAGTTGATACAGTGTTTCGATTGTGGAACCCAAACAAACCAGATACCTGCTTTCAGCAGCGGAGGCCTAAGGGCTGGAGCCAAGCCTCAGAGCTAAAGCTGGCCCAGAATAAAAAAAAAAAGCAAAAAAGGAGCGGTTGGGAGCTTCAGTCACCCGCCAGCCTGAAAACAGCCCTCAGCCCCTCACCCAGACTGGCCAGGCACCCCAGTGGAGACCCCCACCCTGAAGGGTGTGTGACCAGCTGAAAACAGCCATCATCCCCTTATCCAGGCTGGCCAGGCACCCCAGTGGGGACCCCCACCCTGATCCAGGACACCCTTCAGGGCAAACCAGCCAGCACCCACCCGTGCACCAGGCCTCTATCCTATATAGTAAAAAGGTAATATGCCTCCCAGCACCGGAATCAGCGGAGCCTTGAGGCCTCCCAGCACCGGGATCAGCGTGACAGGGGGCAGCGCCCAAAACCCCTGATCGCCCTGCAGCTCTGTGTGTGACAGGGGGCGAGGCCACAACCTCCCTATCTGCCCTGCTCTGTTCGTGACAGGGGAAGGCGCCCCAACCCCCTGATCAGCCCTGCTCTGTGCCTGATAGGGGGGAGCTCCCCAACCTCCTGATCGCCCTGAGGCTCTGTGTGACAGGCTGCAGTGCCCCAACCCCCTGATCAGCCCTGCTCTGTGTGTGACAGGGGGCGGTGCCCCAACTCCCCTATCTGCCCTACTCTGTGAGTGACAGGGGCAGTGCCCCAACCCCGATTGGCTCTGCTCTGTGTGTGACAGGGGGTGGTGCCACAACCTCCCCATTGACCCTGCCTTGAGTGTGACAGGGGGCGGTGCCCCAACCTCCCAATCGGCCCTACCCTGAGCGTGACTGCGGGTGGCATCGCAACCTCCCAATCCGCCCTGCTCTGTGCATGACAGGGGGCGGCGCCCCAACTCCCCAATCGGCCCTGCTCTGAGCCCGACCAGGGGCTGCACCTAGGGATTGGGCCTGCCCTCTGCCACCCGGGAGCAGGCCTAAGCCACCAGGTTGTTATCTCCCGATGGGTCCCAGACTGCGAAAGGCACAGGCTGGGCTGAGCCCTCCCGCCCCCCTACTAGTGCACAAATTTTTGTGCACCGGGCCTCTAGTTTAATATATGGGTCATAAAATGAAGGCAGGACACCTTACTCAAAAATGAAGAATTCATGTGTGGCTCAGTGGTTGAGCATCGACCTATGAACCAGGTCAGGGTTTGATTCCCGGTCTGGAGGCATGCCCGAATTGCGGGCTTGATCCCCAGTGGAGGGCGTGCAGGTGGCAGCCAATCAATGATTCTCTCAATATTGATGTTTCTAGGTCTCTCTCCCTTCCTCTCTGAAATCAATAAAAATATATTTAAAAAAAATAAATGAAGCCGAACCGGTTTGGCTCAGTGGATAGAGCGTCGGCCTGAGGAGTGAAGGGTCCCAGGTTCGATCCCAGTCAAGGGCATGTGCCTTGGTTTCGAGCACATCCCCAGTGGGGGGGCCTGCAGGAGGCAGCTGATTGATATCTCTCATCAATGTTTCTAACTCTCTATCCCTCTCCCTTCTTCTCTGTAAAAAAATCAATAAAATATATTAAATAAATAAATAAATAAATAAATAAATAAATAAATGAAGAATTCAAGACAGTGACAGCACAGCGTTATAAGTGTGGGGCTGTGAGTGACTGCACAGGTCACACCATGAAGCCAGTCTGGGCTGCGGGCCTCAGACACACACGGAGTTCCCACTCACCTGAAAGCTCTTCTCCCACCAGCCTTCAGCTGGTGTCCATGAGGAGTGAGAGCAGTGCAGATGACTGGAGAAGACAAAACAACCACGATGCAAACGAGGAGGTGATTGGCGGCTATGGAGGAATAAACTCAAAGCCCCACCAGCTCCTTGGTATCCTTCTCTACAAAACCAAAGTCGTAACCCACAGGGGGCAGCACATCAAATACTATGGTCACAGGACATTGGCAAATGTGTTTCTAGAGAAGCAGTAAAAGCAAAACCCATCCTCCTCCCCAGGACATAGGCAAACACTTAGTGCTGCTGGGGGAAGGGTAGAAGCAAATATTCTCTACTCCTGGTGGAGGAGCAGGTTCAGGTAACAGATGTTTGCTATTACTGGGGAGTAACAATCACAGTCTACAACCGGGGAAGTGTAAGAGCAGGAGGAAGGCCCTCTCTGATACAGGTAAGCAAGGCCAATGGAAAGCTGAGGGCAGAGCAGGCACACAGAAAAACCTAGCATCTCCACCCCTACCCTAAACACAAGGTAACAGCAGCCAGCCCATCATTAGTACAGCTTGAGGTCTATGGGCTCTGAGCCTCTGAGTAACAATAGACTTCTATTGTAAAAATATCTTCCAAAAATGAACATGAAACACTTAAGACATACAAAAGTTGAAGAAATTCATCACCAGCAGACTTGTACTATAATAGTTAAACAAGTCTTTAAGGCAGAAGAAAATTAAAACAGGAGGAAATATGAATCTATACAGACATAAAGAGCACTACTTGGGTTATTTAAGAAATCTTTGCCTAACCCAAGGTCTCAAAGGGGTCTGTGTTTTTTTGTAAAAGCTTGTATTAGGTCTTGTGCTTAAGTCTATGATCCATTTTCAGTGAATTTCCAGTCGAGGCATGTGCCTGAGTTGCAGGTGTGTGCAGGAGGCAACTGATTGATGTCTCTTGCACACCGAAGTTTCTCTCTCTTCCCCTTTCTCTGAAATCAGAGAGAGGCATATCCTCAGGTGAGGACTGAAGAAGAAGAGAAAAATAAATAAATAAAAGATTCTTCCTAGCTATATAATATTCTACAGTTCTAGCATACAATCCATATGAAGACATTAACACAAATTGTCTAATGAAAAAAGGTTTTTTTATAGTCTAAAAGATATCAGGTACTACTTGATTTTTTTCTTATGAAAATAAGCCCTATACAAAGATCGTTAACTCAAATTACCTCAACACAATTGTTCACTATGAGATTTTATATCAAATTTCAAAATAAAACTTTCATTTCAAGTATACCACAATAAACCAATGATTTTGTTTAAAATGAAAAGTTTATTTGCTCAGAACACCAAATAGGATGCAAGCAATGTCATGACAAATATACAGAAATATGCAGACCAACATAAAACAGTAATTCTGTTTAAATGAAGGGGAAATCTCTTTCAATGTTATGACAA